CCCGATCACTAACAATTGAAGTTGGAATTCCATGGAGTCTCACCACCTCTCAAATAAACACTTCTGCTATAGATCGAGCAAAATATGGATGTTTAAGTAATATGAAGTGCCCATACTTACTCAATCTGTCGACAACCATCAATATTTCATCAAAACCTTTTGATTTAGGCAATCCCACAATAAAATCCATGCTGATGTCCTCCCAAATGGCATTTGGAATAGGCATTGGTTGTAGTAAACTAGTTGGATTTGAGGCTTGATATTTGTTGGCTGGCATATATGACAGGTTGCCACAAATTGTGTCACTGTACCCTTCATTCCTATCCAGAAAAGAGACTAAGCCATTCTATGATAAGTTCTAAACACTCCTGAATGTCCTCCTGTGGGTGAAGAATGAAATTCTTGTAAAAACATTGGAATCTAGCTTGAAGAGGCTGCCAACACTAATCTTCCCTTATAATATAAAATTTCTTATTCCAAAGTATATTGAGGATGAGAGTTAGGATCATGTTTCAAATCCTCAATTATTTTAGCCAAAACAGGATCAACCCTTACTTCCTCATCAATTGCTGAGATATCCTGTCAATGGGGTCTTGAAATCAATTGCAATTACTTTTCCTTACTTTGTCTTGAGAGTGCACTAGCCACTGTGTTTGCGGCTTCAACCTTATACACAATTTCAAATTTGTATCCTAGCAGCTTGGCCAACCAATTCTGTTGATTTTGGGTTGTAATCCTTTGTTCCAATAGATGTTGTAAACTCATTTGGTCTGTAAAAGCTATGAATTTTTTGTCCGAGCAAGTAAGGTCTCTATTAAGATATCTTGTGAGATTCTGATTAGATATGGTTTAGATATATTAGTTTATTATCTCCTGATTTACTCTCCTGATTTATTGTATAATTTCCTTAGATTGATCCTAATCCCAAAACTTTAGGGATTGATTTTGTTACATGTATATTTATTTGATTCTACCCATCAATTCAGAATCAATAAGAAATTATTCAGATACAAGTCTGTAATACACTATTCTAATTAGAGTTATCCTAGATCATTAAAAAGGGTCACCTATCCTAGATCATTAAAAAGGGTCACCCACCATTTATCCACGTATCAAGCCCAATAGTGCTGGACGTGAAGGGGTGTATTGGGAAAAACCCAAGTTCCACATCGACTAGAGATTAGACAATTAAATAATATATAAGTAGAGAACAATCTTTACCTTAAAAGCCGGTTTTGTAAGGTTGAGTTAGACTCAAATCCATTATTTTAAGAGTCTCCAATGTTGAATGGCTAGTACTAAAGCCATTAATTCTTTCTCATATACTGACATGGTGAGGGATGAGTCCCCAAGAGCTTTGCTAAAAAATGCTATAGGCCGCTTGTCTTGTGTTAACATTGCTCCTAGACCTTCATTGAAGCATCACATTCAATAGAGAAAGGTTTGTAAAAAACAGGCATGGCCAAAACAGGTATGGCTCAAATCCATTATTTTAAGAGTCTCCAATGTTGAATGGCTAGTACTAAAGCCATTAATTCTTTCTCATATACTGACATGGTGAGGGATGAGTCCCCAAGAGCTTTGCTAAAAAATGCTATAGGCCGCTTGTCTTGTGTTAACATTGCTCCTAGACCTTCATTGAAGCATCACATTCAATAGAGAAAGGTTTGTAAAAAACAGGCATGGCCAAAACAGGAGCTGAAGTTACAGCTTGTTGTAGTGGCCTAAAAGCCAAAGTGTTGTCTTCCTTCCGCACAAAATTACCCTTCTTCAACAAATTGGTTAGAGGGCAAGCTATTTTCCCATAATTGCATATAAATTTCCAATAATATCTAGTGAAACCCAAAAATCCCCTTAGTGCCTTGATAGATTTTGGAAGAGGCCACTGTAATATAGCGTCAATCTTTATGGATCCATAGAAACCCCTATTTTGAAAACTATATGTCCCAAGTAACTCAACTAAGTCTTACCAAAATCACATTTTTTAAGATTGGCAAAGAAGCTATGCTATTTCAAAGTTCCCAGTACTTGCCTCAAATGTTGCATATGCTTCCTAAAACAAACAACTGCAACTAACCCCTTACACCCTTGTGAAATACATTTGTAACAAATTCCTAACTAACTAATTCGCTCTTTTATTCTTCCTCCTATAGTAGACTTGTAGGGTCTGTTTTGGAGGTTCATTTTCAAGCCTAACATGTTTCCTCTAAATAAGATATCATGCATAATTACTAAATATCTTGATATTATTCTCAACTAAGTTGTTTTGTGACAACAATTCGGCTATCAACATTGCTCATAACCCAATTCATCTTGATATAATGAAACAAAGAGATTATAAGCACTTTGTCAAAGAGAAGTTGGATGGTGACCTTATAGTTACAGTTAATACACAATTTCCTTTTTTCCGACTTTGATCACACTAGACTTTGTCTATAAAAGAAAAATCTGAGATTGAACAAGATGTCAACTTTTTTTTTTTTTTTCTTCAAATAGTGCATACTCAATTTCAAACAAATATACAAGCTTTTAGAAGTAATAGTGGGAAGGAATATTTTGACATGAGCCTAGGAGGAGGGGGTTTTAGGAATTAAAGATGTTGCAGATTTCTATATTAGAGCAAACAGGGATTTGATTTATTTTATTTTAAAAATAAGATCTTCTTTATTTTTTGTTTTGTTTTTGTTGCCTTTTATTATTTCTTCAATCAGGAACAAATTTTAATGTAATATTCTATTTAAGCAGTACTTTTACTGCTGAATGAAGCAAGCAATTATTCCCCATTACTCTATTTAAAATGTCTTGATGTTACAGGAAAAGCAAGGAGGACAAGTAGGCTTGGTGGTAGATTGTGAATGGGCAGAGGCTAATTCTGATAAGATTGAAGATAAATCTGCGGCTGCAAGGCGCTTGGATTTTCAGCTTGGCTGGTAGTTCCTTATGCACTTGTTCCATATTATTATTTTAACAAGATATTTATACATTCTATTGCCTAAAATTGATACATTCTAATGTAGTTAGGTTAGGACTGACGTAAATATGGAGTTAGTGCGTTGTAGATATTGGGCCAAGAAGAATATGAGGCTTATATAGGTTTGCAGGCTAAAGTCTGTTAGGATGCGGGCTGTTTTAGGCAAGTTTACATGAGGAGGAAGATGTTAAGGAATTAGGCGATATTGTTCTCTCTATATTTATCCACCAACAATAAATAAATACTGTTTTTCCTTCTCTTGTTTTCTTGGTTCGGGTTCTATCAAAGTCATATATAACCTTGGTGTGAGATGCAGCTTATGTTAAAATTTATTTTTAATCAGGTTCTTGCATCCACTATATTATGGAGACTATCCTGAAGTTATGCGTGAACGACTTGGAGACCAGCTTCCCAAATTGTCAGAGGAGGACAAGAAAATTCTTTTGAATCCCTTGGATTTTATCGGTCTAAATCACTATACATCAAGGTTTATTTCTCATGTGACAGAATGTACCGAAGAACACTATTATTACAAGGTGCAGGAGATGGAGAGAATAGGTAATAATTGGAACATTTTCTCATTTTCTAAAATATCTTCCATAATGAATTCTCCCCGTTAATTGTGCTCTGTCAACAGTGGAATGGGAAGGTGGCCAAGTTATAGGTGAAAAGGTGCGTACTCTCTCTCAATGTGCTTGTGGTATACATATGCATATACAAGCCCAAACTTGCAAGCTTTATATTCTGTGTGGATGTAACAGGCAGCATCAGAGTGGCTTTATGTTGTTCCTTGGGGTCTACGAAAGATTCTCAATTACGTATCACAAAAATATGCTACTCCGATATTTGTCACAGAGAATGGTACGTAACTATATTTATCCTTCCTATACACTTGGCAAGAAAACAGGTAGAGTATGAAAAACTACAGAGAAAAAGTGAAGAAGAAATCAGACCTCAAGTGAAAGGCATTAATAATATTAGCAGACTGTAAAAAATATATTTCCTGTTTTGTTTTATTTCAAAAATATGAATACATTATATAGAAAGACAAAAGAAAGGAAATAATAAATAGGATATTCTCAAAATTAATTAGGAATCCCAAAATTACAAGAGTGAAATAAAGAATAGAATAATTGACTTCAATCCATCCAATTAAGTGCGTGATTGTCCTGAAATTTAGGGATCCGGCAAATCTTGTTTGGTTAAATCCCTGTGTTGAATCGTTGCCTGTATAGTGGCATTTCAGAATTGTTTTATGTCCTAAATGGGTGATAATTTAAGAGTCTGAAGATGAAAAGATTGGTTAAAATGTAATACATGGTCGACTTTATGGTTTGCTATTATTTTGACAAACCTGAATAATAAAATCCACTGTTGATGGAAACATTGAGTTCCACATCAAAATCCCATGCTTCCAATTGGGCAAGTAGGCAAGATTGACCAAGTTTGACTTGGACACGTAGCACATGTAGAACTAACAAGCTACCACAAAACATCTACATAATCCACTTGGTCATTTAGATTTAGATCACGTTCCTAGGCTATTTCTTGGGCTTCGTGAATAAAACTTTGCTCAAAATTCAATTTCATAATTTTCCTTCTCCATTTGCCCAAGGTCATGTCCCCACTAGGCCCAACTGGATGGATGCTATATTTTTCTATTACCAAGCTTGGCTATTAGAAAAATTTGGAAAATACTAATTTATCTTACCCCAAAACATACTTTATTATTATTTTTTTTTTACAAAAGCCTACAAGGAATAATTTATCACACTAGATAAATTCAAGCCTATTCATTGCCTAAGCTGAAATACAAACCACATACTATTTATTGTTATATTTATATTTATGAGATTTCCCTTTATTTAAATTTTGAATTTTAAATTTTGAATAAATTTTAAATAGGATATTTGTTATTGTTGCAGTTTCTTCTTTTATCTTTTATTTTCAGTTATTCAAATATAATCTCAACAAGTAGAATTGTTAGAAGATGAAATTTGTTAGGAATTTTAAATTAATTGTAAGCCTATACATAGACATCCTCTTTTATAAATTTTTAATGATAATTTTAATGACGATGAAGAAGAGTATTTATTTTTTACCTCAAGAATTCAATTCACATGAATTGAATACCTAGTTCATTGACAGTGGTTGTACTAGTCACATGACTAAATGCTTATCATTTTTTACCTCTATTGACAAAACAATTGAATCGAAAGTCAAGATGAGAAATAGTGAAATTGTGCAAGCCAATGGAAAAGGAATAATTTCTATTGCAACCAAGAAAGATATGATAATTGTTAGAGATGTTCTTTACATTCTAGAATTGGATCAAAATGTTCTTAGTGTTCCACAAATGCTAAGGAATGGATATGAAGTTTCTTTTTAAGAGAATTATTGTTTTATCATAGATGAACATGGTTTACAGGTCTCAAAGATTGAGATGACCAAAAACAATTTTTATTTAAAATTTGATTTAGTTGAAGATCATGATTTTATTGCTAAAATTGATGAGAGTAATGTATTTGATATGACAAATATTAGCAAATGATATTTAAAGATAGGAGAGGAGTTAAATTGAATCACTATTGTTAAAACAATTGTTTTTATATGTTGTACAGCTTTTATAAAGCTGTTTTTGACCCTATTTGGCAAAAGGGTTTTAGGTACATAGGCTGGCAACTTTTCTAATGGTTATACCTATTTTCATCTTTTGTATGTATATAAAATACCAGCTGAGTTTGAACTCAGCAGTCTTTTGGCCAAAACCAAAACCTTAAGTTGGTATCAGAGCGGGTTAGATCCCGCTCTGTCTCTCCGCTACTTTTTGTCATCTCCGGCCACTGTCCGCCGTCGGCGGCCACCATCCGCCGCTGCGTCCGCTGTCGTTCTCACTGGCAAACACGAGGTTTGGTGCGCCTTGAGGAGCCTAGTCCAACCCTGGAAGTGGCGTGCCCTAATTCCCAGGCACGCTCCCTCACGCGCCGATCCTCTCCAGTGCCCTGTCCGGCGCGTGAATCTCACGCGCCACCCTCTGCTTGCCAGAATCTTGTCGAACCACTCCCAGAAGCTTCGTCGGCCCCTTCCGTTCACGTTTCTACCCTCAGTTACCAAGATTGACCCACTTAGAAGTGTGAGTAGTGGTGGTCACGTGTCTTCTTCTTCCTTGTTAATGAAATGGCCTCTTCTGGTACTCTTACCATTACCACTGCGAAACTGAACTGGAAAAATTATTTATCTTGGTCTGCTTCGGTGGAGTTGTGGTTTCTTGGTCAAGGATATCATGACCATTTGGAGAAGGAAGCTGTGATATTTCTACCGAACATAAATCTCAATGGCAGAAACTTGACTTCTAACTATGTGCGCACCTATGGCAATCAGTTGAACCTGAAGTGTTAGAGATACTCGGGACATTTAAGACATGTTCATTTTGGAAGGAAGCCCACAATATTTCTGCTAATGACATTCAACGTCTTTTCGATGCAACTCAAAGAGTAGCCTCTCTCAAACAAACCAGCCATGTTATGGTTTCACATGTAGCTAAGGCCAAGGCTGCAATAGAAGAATTGAAAAGATTTCTTGTGGCAGATTCACTAGAGGGTGTCAACAAAAAACTTGATAAGTTATACATGGTTTTGATTTTGAGGAGCTTACATTCAGATTTTGATCATGTACGTGATCAAATTTTGGCTGGTGATCAAGTCCCTTCCATGGACAACTTAGTCACTAGACTTCTTCGTGTTCCTACCTTGGTGGAAGATGAAAAAATAGCTGAAACTATTGAAACTTCAACAATGATAGCATCTCGTGGAAGAGGAGGACATAGCAATCAAGGAGGACGTGGTGGCAGAAGTGGACGTCCCCAATGTACTTATTGCAAAAGAATGGGTCATACACAAAAAAATTGCTATTCCTTGCATGGTTTTCCTGACAAGGCAGCCTATATATCAAAACCTGAAAAACCAGGTTCCAACTTTTCTGAAGAGGAGTATCAAGAATATCTAAGGCTCAAATCTGAAAAATCTAACAGCCAAGCCCAATCTTCTTCTATGCCTAGTGTTTCAACAACATGTATCTCTCAATCTGTGGAAGGTCATGGTCCATGGATACTTGACTCAGTTGCTTCTGACCATATTTCTGGTAATAGTTCCTTATTCTCATTCATCTCTTCTCCAAAAGTTCCTCATTTTGTTACTGTAGCCAATGGGTCCAAAGTTGCTTCTCAAGGAATTGGGCGAGTTCCTTTGTCTCCTTTAAAATTAAATTCTGTCTTGTTCATCCCTCATTGTCCTTATAACTTGGTCTTTCTAAGCCAATTGACTCGTTCATTAAATTATTCAGTAACATTTGATGCTAAATCTTTTGTCATACAGGAACGTGGTACGGGTCGTCTGATTGGCGAAGGACATGAATCACGAGGTCTCTATTACCTAAAAACCAGTCCACCTGTATCTTGTTTTGCAGCTGTTGGAGATCAGCGCATATCAATCAGAATCTGTTGGAGATCAGCATATATCAATAAGAATATTCAATTCTGATTTGTACAGATTTAATGTTAATAAGATCAATTTTATTTCCCCTCCTTTAATTATTTAGATACAACATTTATAGGGAGAATTATTTCCCAGATTTTTAGGGATAGATTAGTGTGCAGATTTATTCCCTTGTATTCTATTTATACCACTTTTGTATTTTTTCCAAATCAGAGAAATATACATTATATTGGGGTTGAACATAGAACTTGATGAAGTCCAGGGAAGAATCCTTGGAACCAAACCTCTTAAAACAATCCGAGAAGTATTTTCGGAAGTGAGAAGAGAGGAGAGCAGGAGGAAAGTGATGCTTGGAAAGTCAAGTGCAATCCCATCCATTGAAGGCTCAGCAATGGCAGCAAGGGGGAACCAGCCTTGTACATCTCAAAAGAAAAATCGGCCCTGGTGTGATCATTGCAAGAAACTGGGTCACACTAAAGACAACTGTTGGATCATTCATGGCAGACCTTTAGAGGCAAAACAGACCAAAAACCTGGACAGCAGAGGCAACATAGCTGAGGTAAATTCTAACCCATCTCCATTCAGCAAGGAGCAAATGGAAGCACTATAGAAAATTCTCCAGCAAACAATTGGTACAGCTACAGTGGCACAAAAAGGTAATTTCTTGCATGCTTTAAATACTAGCAAAGGAAAACCAAAGTCATGGATCATTGACTCAGGAGCCTCAGATCACATGACTGGAGACTTAACTGTGTTTAAAAGCTATTCTCCATGCCTAAATAATTACACAGTTTGAATAGCTGATGGGACTCTTTCTAAGGTCATGGGTAAAGGTTCAGTTATTATCTCACAGAATATTACCCTGAATTCAGTCCTTTATGTGCCTAAACTTGACTGTAATTTGCTGTCCATTAGCAAACTAACAAGAGATTTGAATTGTGTCACTAAATTCTTTCCTAACCTATGTGAATTTCAGATTTTGGAGTCGGGGAAGACGATTGGCAATGTTGAGAATGTGCTGGACTCTACCTCCTCCAAGTTGAAGAGTCAAAAGCGGAACCCAAGGCTAACTCTTGTGCAACTGTACCGCTAAATAGAAAAAATTCTGTAATGTTGTGGCATTATCGGTTAGGCCACCCAAATTTTATGTACTTGAAAAAAATGTTTCCCGCATTATTAAAAAAAAATCAAGAGTTTTTTCAAGGTGAAATATGCCAATTGTCCAAACATACCCGTAACTCCTACCTGCCTCAACCCTATAAACCTTCTCAACCTTTCTCCCTAATTCACAATGATATATGGGGACCATCACGAGTAAACAATGTCACTGGATCAAGATGGTCTGTCACCTTCATTGACGATCACACACGGGTCACTTGGGTTTTCCTAATGAAGGAGAAATCAGAAGTTGGCAGAATATTTGAGTTGTTTCATACTATGGTGGAAACACAATTTCAAAGCAAAATTAAGGTGCTTAGAAGTGACAACGGCCGAGAGTATTATCACTCTGCACTAAATTCCTACCTTCAGAAACATGGAATCATACATCAGAGTTCATGTGTAGATACACATCAGCAGAACGGATTCGCCGAAAGAAAGAATAGACATCTCCTAGAAGTGACCAGATCTCTCATGTTAGCTACAAATGTACCCAACCAATTTTGGGGAGAAGCTGTCCTCTCTGCAACCTACCTTATAAACAGAATGCCCTCCCGAATCCTCAACTTTAACACCCCTTATTCTACTCTCCAAACCTCATACCCTACGAGTCGTATCCTTACATCTATTCCTTTGGAAAATATTCGGATGTTCAGCCTTCATCCACAACCTCAATCCTCGTCGCAACAAACTTGACCCGAAATCCATCAAATGCATCTTTCTCGGCTACTCCCCCACCAAAAGGGGTACAAATGCTATTCACCCCAAAACAGGAAATTCTACCACACCATGGATGTCACCTTTTTTGAGAATCAACCTTATTACCCAAAAGTTGGCATTCAAGGGGAGCAGACTTATCCAATTGAAGTGGTAGAATCCCAACTTTTGGGATTTGAGCTAGCTGAATCTGTCCCAAATACAGAGCCAACCAATATTGCACCTACACAAGAGGAAATTACAATAGAAAATGCAGAAAACGCAACAGAATTTGCCCAAAATGTAGAACCAGCCGAGACTGCACCTGTAGCAGAAACTGAACAGGAAAATGCAGTAGAAATTGCACCAGCTGAAGCTAGAGAGAGAATTGCATCTCAACAGAATCAAAGCCCAGCCACACAAGGAGACAACTGGACGACATACTTCAGGAAGAGAAGGAAGATAGTAGAGTCCAGCACAGATCCAAGGCAAAGCCATGAATCCAACCAAACTCCAGAAAATGAGTTTTCCCAAGGTAATATCGTTCCTAATCCTAAACCTATTGATGACATTGACATTCCTATTGCCTTAAGAAAAGGGGTGATATCTTGCACTCAACACCCCATTGAGAAATATGTGTCCTATGGAAAATTGTCACAGGGGTGTAGGTCTTTTGTGGCAGCTCTTGACAGCAAAAATATCCCAAGGAATGTTCAAGAAGCACTCCAACAACCTGAATGGGCAGCAGCTGTAATAGAAGAAGTCCAAGCCTTGGTTAAAAATGGCACGTGGGAAATCACCACTCTACCGGAAGGAAAGAAATCGATTGGATGCAAGTGGATATTCTCCATCAAATACAATGCCGATGGTAGTATAAACCGGTACAAAGCTCGACTGGTGGCAAAAGGGTTTACCCAATCATATGGAGTGGACTACGAAGAGACTTTTGCGCCGGTGGCCAAACTCAATTCAATTCGAGTCATACTCTCTTTAGCTGCAAATTTAGATTGGCCACTCCATCAACTAGACATCAAGAATGCCTTTCGAAACGGTGAACTTGAAGAAGAAGTCTATATGCAAATTCCCCCGGGACTTGAGTCATCCAGAACCTCAAGCATGGTGTGCAAGCTCCGAAAATCTCTATATAGCCTTAAACAATCTCCGAGAGCGTGGTTTGATAGATTGACTCGAGTTGTCAAGGAAGACGGGTTCAACCAATGCCAATCAGATCACACTATGTTTGTCAAACACTCCGTGGAAGGGAAGGTAGCCTTGTTCATTGTTTATGTTGACGATATCGTTATCACAGGAAACGATTATGATCAAATCAAGCATCTGAAGGGAATTTTGGCCAAGGAATTTGAAGTCAAGGACTTGGGTCAGCTCAAATATTTTCTAGGGATGGAAATTGCTCGAACAAAGAATGGTATTTATGTATCACAAAGGAAATATACGTTGGACTTACTTCAAGAAACTAGCATGCTTGGATGCAAGGCAGCCAATACTCCCATTGAACCGGAAAAGAGAAGTGAAGAAGAAAGTCCACCAACTGATAAAGATAGATATCAAAGCCTAGTTGGGAAGCTAATCTACCTAACTCACACTAGGCCTGACATTGGTTTTGCTGTGAGCTTAGCTAGTCGCTATACATCTAATCCAACTGAGGCCCACATGAAAATGGCGAACAGAATCCTCCAATATCTCAAAGATACACCGGGTCGAGGGCTCTACTTTAAAAAGAACTCAAACAAAAGCATTGAAGTCTACACTGACTCAGATTGGGCGGGATGCCCCTCTGACAGAAAATCAACTACAGGCTATTGCTCCTTTGTGTGGGGAAACCTGGTGACTTGAAGAAGTAAGAAGCAACTTGTGGTGGCAAGGAGTAGTGCAGAAGCTGAATTCAGAGCTATGGCTCAAGGTATCTGTGAAGGAATCTGGCTTAAGAGGATGCTGGATGAAATCAGAATTCCCATCAATTACACTATGAGGATATTATGTGACAACAAGGTTGCCATAAGCATTGCGAAGAACCTAGTCCACCATGATAGGACAAAGCACGTGGAGATTGACCGACACTTCATTAAAGAAAAAATTGACCACGATATTATAAGTGTTGACCATGTTCCATCATGCAGACAAACAGCAGACATCCTAACAAAGGCTCTTCCAAGGAACACGTATGAAAACATTAGATCCAATCTGGGTATGATAGACATCTACCACCCAGATTGAGGGGGAGTGTTGGAGATCAGCGCATATCAATTAGAATCTATTGGAGATCAGCATATATCAATCAGAATATTCAATTCTGATTTGTACAGATTTAATGTTAATAAGATCAATTTTATTTCCCCTCCTTTAATTATTTAGATACAACATTTATAGGGAAAATTATTTCCCAGATTTTTAGGGATAGATTAGTGTGCAGATTTATTCCCTTGTATTCTATTTATACCACTTTTGTATTTTTCCCAAATTAGAGATATATACATTTATTTTTCCGCAGCAACCTCAACACCAAAGCTTTTGCATGACTGTTTGGGTCACCCAAGTTTAGCAAAATTGAAGATAATGGTTCCTAGTCTCAAATCACTTCCAGTTTTGAAATGTGAATCGTGTCAATTAGGAAAACATGTTAGGTCATCATTTCCTAAACAAACTGAACAAAGATGTAACTCAGCTTTTTCTACCATTCATTCAGACATTTAGGGACCAAGCCGTGTCACATCTTTTGGTTTTAGATATTTTGTAACCTTCATTGATGAATTCTCTCGATGTACTTGGATTTATCTAATGAAAGATCGATGTGAACTTTTATCTATATTCATGTCTTTCTTTAATGAGATTAGGAACCAATTTGGCAAGATAATTAAAATCTGACAATGCTATAGAATATCTCTACTGAACTTTTTTCCTTCTTATCCTCACAAGGTATTTTACATCAATCTATATGCCCTCACACACCACAACAAAATGGCATAGCAGAGAGGAAGAATAGACATCTTATTGAAATTGCACGCTCCCTAATGTTTAACATGAATGTTCCCGTGCACCATTGGGGAGATGCAGTCCTCACTGCTTGTTTTTTAATAAATAAGATGTCATCTTCCTCTCTTGAAAATCATTTTCCTCACTCTATCATTTTTCCAAATGACCCTTTGTTTCATGTCTCTCCTAGGGTGTTTGGTTGTACTTGTTTTGTTCATAATGTTTCTCCAGGTTTAGACAGACTTTCTGCAAGGGCCATTAAATGTGTTTTTATGGGATATTCTCGCCTTCAAAAGGGATACAAATGTTATTCTCCAGCTACCAAGAGGTATTACATGTCTACTGATGTTACTTTCTTTGAGGACATACCTTTTTTTTCACCCTCCATAGACAATCCTGTTTCCATTCAACAGGTTCTTCCTATCCTATTCTCTGATCCAATCATGGTTTCCAATCCATCTGACACCAGCCAAGATGAGGATCAATCTCAATCTCATACTCATCATTCAACTGAAGATTTTCGTGATTCTGATCCTTCCCCATCAACTTCCCATACCACGAGTCTTTCATCCTCCACGCCATCCCATGATTCCAATTTAGATTGGCCCATTGTTATTCAAAAAGGTAGTTGGTCCACTCATAATCCTCATCCTATTTATAATTTTTTGAGCTATCACCGCTTGTCTCCTTCATACTTTTCTTTTATTTTCTCTTTCTCCTCTACTGCTATTCCTAACACTATCAATGAAGCACTTGACCATCCAGGATGGTGACAAGCCATGATTGATGAGATGCAGACTCTTGCACACAATGGCACATGGGAGCTTGTCCCTCTACCTCCTGGAAAGAAGACTGTGGTTGTAGATGGGTCTATGCTATTAAAGTTGGCCCTAAGGGTGAAGTTGATCACCTTAAAGCTTGGTTGGTAGCCAAGGGATGCACTCAAATTTATGGTCTTGATTATTGTGATACCTTTACTCCCCGTGGCTAAGATCACCACGGTACGGCTCTTCAGTTATTCGTCATTGGCCACTCCACCAGCTTGACATAAAAAATGCCTTCCTTCATGGTGACCTTGAGGAGGAGATTTATATGGAGCAACTTCCTGGGTTTGTTGCTCAGGGGGAGTGTGACTTAGTCTGTAAATTGCATCGGTCTTTGTATGGACTGAAACAATCACCCCGTGCTTGGTTTGGTAAATTCAGCCATCTTGTGCAGATTTTTGAACTAGAACGAAGTGAGACAGGTCATTCAATGTTTTATTGTCATTCTGTTGGGAAGTGTGTTTATTTAATGGTCTATGTTGATGATATAGTTATTACGGGAAATGATGCTACTAGAATTTCTCAACTAAAAGAGCACTTATTCAGTCATTTTCAGACTAAAGACCTTGGTAGTCTGAAATACTTTCTGGGTATTGAAGTGGCTCAATCAAAGGAAGGTGTTGTAATTTCACAAAGGAAATATGCTCTTGATATTTTGAAGGAAACAGGTCTGGAAAGTTGCAGACCAATAGATAGTCCTATGGATTCAAATCAGAAGCTAACGATAGACCAAGGTGAGATTTTTCCAGATCTAGAGAGATACAAGAGGTTAGTGGGAAAACTCATTTATCTCACTATTACAAGACTGGATATTTCATTTGTAGTTGGAGTGGTTAGTCAATGCATGCAAAATCCTCAAATTGACCATTGGAATGTTGTGATTTGCATTCTCAGATATATTAAAAGGGCTCCAGGACAAGGATTGTTGTATGAGGACAAAGGAAATACTCAAGTCTTGGGGTATTGTAATGCTGATTGAGCTGGCTGTCCCATAGATAGGAGATCCACCACAGGATATTGTGTGTTTATTGGAGGGAATATTATATCTTGGAAGAGCAAGAAACAAAGTGTTGTTGCCTGATCTAGTGTGGAGGCTGAATATAGATCTATGGCTTTGGCTACTTGTGAACTTGTGTGGAAAAAACAACTTCTTCAAGAGTTAAAATTTTGTGAAGTTAAGCAAATGAAATTATACTGTGATAATCAGGCAGCCCTTCATATTGCTTCCAATCTGGTGTTTCATGAGAGAACCAAACACATAGAGATTGATTGTCATTTCATTCGAGAGAAATTGCTGTCCAAGGAACTTATCAACGAGTTTGTCACTTCTAATGACCAACTTGCAGACATTCTAACTAAGTCTTTAAGAGGACCTAGGATTCAGTTTATATGTTCCAAGCTTGGTGCATATAATTTATATGCTCCAGCTTGAGGGGGAGTGTTAAAACAATTGTTTTTATATGTTGTACAGCTTTTATAAAGCTGTTTTTGACCCTATTTGGCAAAAGGGTTTTAGGTACATAGGCCGACAACTTTTTTTATGGATGTACTTATTTTGATCTTTTGTATGTATATAAAATACCAGCTGAGTTTGAACTCAGCAGTTTTTTGGCCAAAACCAAAACCTCAAGTACTATGAAGATAATGATTTGGGTCAAGAAATTGATGCGCAGCAACTTGATGACATGACACTTAAGAAATCAAGTTTTGGAGTTCATAAAACTAAAATTTGTGTTGTTCATGGCAAATCTCAAGGAGAAGTGTTAGATTTATGAGATTTTTCTTTATTTAAATTTTGAATTTTGAATAAATTTAGATAAGATATTTGTTATTGTTACAATTTTATCTTTTATATTTTATTATCAATTATTCAATATAATCTCAATAAGTAGAATTGTTAGTAGATGAGATTTGTTAGGAATTTTAAATTAATTGCAAGCCTATACATAGACATCCTCTTCTATGAATTTTTAATGGTAATTTTAATGATAATTTTCATCTTCATTTTTAATTTCAATTTGTCTGCAAGATCTAGTTTTTCTATATTTTTCACAAAATATTTCCAACATTTATTTACACAAAACTCAATATTATTTTATCTAATATTTATTTTAATCTTTTTATTAAAAGCAAGGATGTTACAATCAAACCTAGTTCTCTCATTATTGGGTGACTACTTTTCTCAAGATGGTTTACTAAAAATGATTTATTTTCTTTACATTCTTACTAATTCTTGAAAGTGGAAATTGACAAGAGTAGAGAAAGTTATTAACTCAAAATAAATAAATAAGTAATGATTTCTAATTTGGAATTTAAGTAAAGCACAGAAAAAAAATTCAAATGAGCTCTCCAAACTTCAAGGCAAAGTAACAAATTCAGGTAGAAAAACATTAGTGGACGTTCACAGAGAACCCACAATGATTGTGCTATTCAGTATACGAGTGTGGGAATATATTATGAAATGATTCTCTTCTGAGGCCGGATTTCCATTTGACAGGTATGGATGATGAAGATAACGATAACGTGCCACTACATGAGATGTTAGATGACAAACTGAGAGTTCGCTATTTCAAGGGATATCTTGCATCAGTTGCTCAAGCTATAAAGTGAGTTTTCCACTTCCTACATATACAACACCTGCTTGGGTTAAACCTATCTGTTTCAGCAATTAATGAGTAATCTGGTGGTTAGATGTTCATCTCTTTTAAATATTTGATGATTAATGCCTTATTATGCCTTCATTTTACCTAATGTTGGTGTGTCATTTTCGTTTTTCTGGCATTTCTGTTTTTGTTCTTCTCTCGACTTTACAGATATGGTGATGTCATGTTTTGACCTTAGTTATGCATGTCTTTCACTGTATAAGTAATACCTTTGAGAAGTATTGATTGATCGAAAGCTTAGAACACGGATTAAAAAAAGTAATTAATCTCCTGATTGATATAAAAATTATTTGTAATTTCCTTGTATATCCTTTATAAATTTCATTTATTACCTTGACATTCCAAATTTTTATCTTTATAACAAGATGTATTTGAGAAAATAGTAATGGATGTTATTTAGAATTTTAAAGTGACTGATAAATAGAAAAAAAATATTTCTTCAAAAAATGATAGATAAAAGAAATGAAGGTAGTCTTTTATTATTTGTGTTCAAACATTGAAGTGTTTGATGAACAATAATCAAGGTGTTTAGTTGGGAGCTGTTTCGGAATAGTTATTAACTTGAATCCTCTAATTTTATAAGCTAATAGTCTGTTCAGGTACAAGCAGAATGTTTTTTAGTGTTTTTCTATCAAAAATAAAAAGATTTTTTTTAGTAGAGAAATTTTCAAATACTCTTATAAATTTGTATAAAAAAGGCTATATAACTTGTAAGCCAGGAGCTGGACGATTTTTTTAATACATACCATCCCCTAATTATATATTTTCGTGTGCACTTAATTATTTTACAAAATTTACTTTATGCGCTGCTACTACTAATAAATTTAAATATATACTTGTTAAAACACACAAACTTGTCTTTTTATATATGTACAAGTTAGCTAATCTATTAATTTTACCAAACATTTTTAATTCATTCAACTTATCAACAGTTTTCAGTTAGTTATGCCAAATATAGCCAAAAGTTCAGAAACTGGCAGAAGCTCATTTCTGGGGCATCTCTCAAGTTTTGTATGCTAATTGAATAAATTTACTTAAAAACCATAAGAAGGAAACCCACACAGGTTTTTGAAAAAGAAATGAAAATGAATATGTAGAAAAAAGAAAAAGAGAATATTTTTCAAAAAAATAAAATTGGGTACTTATTTAAGTACGTGTTGGGACCAGATGGCAATAGTTGAAATTATCTATTTTTTGTTATACATATAAGTCCCTTTCTTCTCCCCAAAAAGAGGAGTTATTATTACAAGGGTGAGTGCAAAATGTGAATATTGATGAAAATGAATGAGATTCGGGTTGACATTCTTGAAGCTGTTACTCAGTCGATGAATCAGATTTAATTAGAGACAATTATTTTCGTTGACAATGGACTAGGAAATGATGGGTTGAAAGTGTTAAAGGTTGATATCATATCCATATTTATATTTTATAATATCAATTAATTGATGACATTTATGTATTATAGTTTTTTAGTACGAGATTTTTTTAATTTAATCTCTTTTTTATTTTTCATGATATATAAATTATGTTTATTTGTGTTTTATTTATTTATTTTTTTATTTTTTTATCAATTATGCAATTTAGTCACACTTATAGAGCTCAAAGTTGAAATGAAGGTAGTGAAATGAAGTTCAAAGATTTTATTGTGTATATTAAAAAAATTATTAGCATACGAGTATTCTTTGTGAAAAATCTTGTATCTCATATCAGTACCAAATGCTCATACCATACCTGTATTCATGCAAGACATAACAACAGAGCAAAAACGTTTTATCTAGAAGTAAATGAGAATTTGAATCAAAACAGACCTAAGTTTTGTGTATGATTCGAATGCACAGGGATGGAGCAGATGTGAGGGGATACTTTGCATGGTCATTACTAGACAACTTTGAATGGGCTCAAGGTTATACCAAGCGATTTGGATTGGTCTATGTGGATTATAAAAATGGTCTTAGCAGACACCCCAAGTCTTCTGCATATTGGTTTTCACGGTTTCTGAAAGGTGGTGAAAACAAGGGTAAGCAAGAGTAGTTCACTTTCTATCATTGTGTTGTCATACCAGATACAAGTAATACAATAAAATAAGAACAAAATTTCACCATTATCAGTACTTGCAAGCTTTGTATAGGCTGTAATGCCATTTTTCTTACTACCGAATTTCATTCCCTTAGTGTCTGAAAACTTTATTCTATTCACATTTATTTGTCTTAGCTTTTAATTTGTGTTGCTTCATAAAAATTCGATTTTTATTTTGTAGACCACGTTTAATTTTTATGTTCCACGTTGCTTGGTCCCCTCCCCCCTCCCCCATTTTTTTCTTTTATTTTTTGTTTAATACCAAAAAGGAGTGAGTTCCTTAACTATGATAATAAACAAAAATATTTTTGATTAAGAAGTGCTAGGAATGCGATATTTTATAAGTGATTATATTATTGATACAAAAATAATCACTGGTTTTATCAATAATTAATCTTTGTTGAACAAGATTCGAATTCAATATTTTTTAAAACCTTAAACCTTGCAAGGAATGTACTATTTAATTTTTTTTAATATATTTTTGTATCATTTGTTAAAATTTGTTAAAATCTACAAAATCATGAAAGAAACTAAATAGAAGATGAGATTTTAAACTTTTGCAATTTTTAGTAAATTTCAATCAATAATGTTAAAAATAATGTGTTCAAATACTATTAATACTTCTCATCATTGTTTTCAATGGATTCATAACATGATTTTTATTCAAGAATTTTGATAATTTTATGTATGAGATAATCTTGAAATCATGTCATACAGTTATTTATTAATTTTTTAATGAATTCATTATCTTTATCTTTTCAACATACTTCTCTTTTGTTCGTATTATATATATTACGTTAGTGTTTATAGAATCTATCTTATTTAATTACAATATTAAACGATTCAGAATTTTTAAGATGGGGAAGGTCTTAGATTTCTGTGTTTTCCCCCCTTTACTATAGTATATAAAAATAAAATAAAATAAATTTAGTCTTTGTTCCCCCCTTTCGTTGTTTTCGGAACAAGAAATTTTGATCTTAGATTTCAAACTTTATCCTCCTTTAAGGTAACACCTAATTTATACCAACTCTTCCTTTTTGTTAAAAAAAATATAATATTTCAAAATAGAATGTTATTGTATTAATCATGTTTATATTTTGGCTTAAATATATTTTGTCTCTCAAATTTAAGACAAATTTATTTTTGGTCCCTTAAATTTAGAATTATTTTTATTTTTTATAATTTTTAAAAATCTTGTTTTAGTTCTTCAGCTCATCAATAACATATCTAAAAATGACAAACTAAGATAGTTATGCAATATCAATTGAATTTAATGTGATTTTTTCACTAATAAGAACACTAATAGGTAGATTTTGTGCAACAATGTTTGATAATTTTTTTTAACAAAATTTGAATATAAGGATTAAAATATTTTTTTTTAATTACAGGGATTAAAACACAATAATTTTAAATTTGAGGGATCAAAAATAAATTTATCATAAATTTAAGAGACTAAAAATATATTTAAACCTTATATTTTCTAAGAGGAATGCTAGCAATATTCTTTAGCTCAATTCTCTTAACACGCTCACTTTTATTTATTAAAATTTATTAAAAACTACAAAATTAGGAGGAATAAATATTAAATAGAGTAAGATTCATTTGTGTTTTTTAATAAATTTCAACTAATCAAGAGAAAACATATTTAAAAGAGTGTGTTAGAGTGTGTTCTCATCATTTCTCTATCTTGTAATGTATCAAGAAGTAGAGCTCTAGTTTAGTTTTAAAAATATGAGTTGTTGCAAACTTTTTGATAGAGTTTGACCGTGGATAATATATAGATTATATATATATATATATATATATATATATA